GGAATGTAAATTAGTGAATGTAAATCACTATGGAGAACAGTTTGGAGGTTCCTCAAAAAACTAAAAACGGAGCTACCCTGTGGTCCAGCAATACCACTGCTGGGTATATACAAGAAAGGAAATCAGTAGTCCAGGCATGGTGGCTCATGCCTGTAATCCCAGCACTTTGGGAGGCCAAGGTGGGCAGATAACCTGAGGTCAAGAGTTCCAGACCAGCCTGGCCAACATGGTGAAACCCCATTTCTACTAAAAATACAAAAAATTAGCTAGGCATGGTGGTGTACGCCTATAATCCCAGCTACTTGGGAGGCTGAGGCAGGAGAATCGCTTGAACCCAGGAGGTGGAGGTTGCAGTGAGCAAGATCGTGCCACTGCCGGCTTGGGCAACAAGAACGAAATTCCGTCTCAAAAAAAAAAAAAGAAAAGAAAAGAAAAGAAAGAAAATCAGTATATGGAAGAGATATCTGCACTCCATGTTTGCGGCAGCACTGTCCACAATAGTCAAGATTTGGAATCAACCCAAGTGTCTGTCAACAGATGAATGGATAAAGAAAATGTGGTACATATACACAATAGAGTACTATTCAGCCACAAAAAGAATGAGATCTGGTCATCTGCAACATGAATGGAACTGGAGGTCATTATGCTACATGAAATAAGCCAGGCACAGAGAGACAAACTGCATGTTCTCACTTATTTGTGGATCTAAAAATCAAAACAATTCAACTCATGGTCATAGAGAGTGGAAGGATGATTACTGAAGGCTGGGAAGGGCACAGGGAGGCTGAGGGGGAGGTGGGGATGGTTAATGGGTACAAAAAATAGAAAGAATAAGACCTACTATTGGGTAGCACAACAGGCTGACTATAGTCAATAAGAACTTAATTGTACATTTTTTTTTTTTTTTTTGAGATGGGAGTTTTGCTGTCACCCAGGCTGGAGTGCAGTCGCATGATCTTAGCTCACTGCAACCTCTGCTGTGGGGTTCAAGTCATTCTCCTGCCTCAGTCTCCAGAGTAGCTGGGATTACAGGCACCCACCACCACACCCAGCTAATTTTTGTATTTTTTAGTAGAGATGGGGTTTCCTCATGTTGGCCAGGTTGGTCTTGAACTCCTGATCTCAAATGATCTGCCTGCCTTGGCCTCCCAAAGTGCTGGGATTACAGGTGTGAGCCACCGTGCCTGGCCTAACTGTATATTTTAAAACAAAGAGTGTCATTGGAATGTTTGTAACTCAAAGGATAAATGCTTGAGGGGTTGGATATCCCATTCTTCATGATATGCTTATTTCACACTGCACGCCTGTATCACAACATCTCATGTACTCCATAAATACACACACCTACTATGTACTGACAAAAATTTAAAATTAAAAAAAAAATTAAAAACACAAGATGTGTAAAATCTTCAGGATTTATTATATGCTTGCTAATATTCACATTCCTTCACTGTCCACTTCTGCTTGTTCCTGAAATCAGAAAGCTGACAGAGGGTGTACCTCCATATATGTTGTAGGTTACATAAATGTGACCTACAACCAACACATATGTTCAACCTTAAAATGGACCATTTTACGGTTATTCATTTCTCATACATATCCTTGCAAAACTGAAGAGTGTTCCGTCACTAAAGTTCCCAATCACGGCCCCTTCCTAAAGGTCTCACAAAACAGATGTTACCACATACAGAGACCAAGACCAATCCCTACAACTGCTACCATGTCTACGTGGAGAGAGAAGGCTGTGGGCTTCTACTGCAAACACCCTGATGTTGGGTAAAACATAACACCCTTTTAAATGAATTTCTTTCCTTCTTTCTCTCTCTCTTTTTTTTGAGACAGTGTCTAACTCTGTTGCCCAGGCTGCAGCGCAGTGGCGTGATCTCGGCTCACTGCAACCTCTGCCTCCCAGGCTCAAGCAATTCTCCTGCCTGAGCCTCCTGAGTAGCTGGGACTGCAGGTGGCACACCATTGCACGCAGCTAAATTTCGTATATATATATATATATATATATATATTTTTTTTTTTTTTTTTTTTTTTTTTTTTTTTGAGACGGAGTCTCGCTCTGTCGCCCAGGCTGGAGTGCATTGGCCGGATCTCAGCTCACTGCAAGCTCCGCCTCCCAGGTTCACGCCATTCTCCTGCCTCAGCCTCCCAAGTAGCTGGGACTACAGGCGCCCACCACCTCCCCCGGCTATTTTTTTGTATTTTTTTAGTAGAGACGGGGTTTCACCGTGTTAGCCAGGATGGTCTCGATCTCCTGACCTCGTGATCCACCCGTCTCGGCCTCCCAAAGTGCTGGGATTACAGGCTTGAGCCACCGCGCCCGGCCCGTATATATATATTTTATGTAGAGACAGGCTTTTGCCATGTTGTGCAGGCTGGTCTTGTACTCCTGAGCTCAGGTAATTCACCTGCCTTGGCCTCCCAAAGTGCTGGGATTACAGGCGTGAGCCACCATGCCTAACTTTGTGTTTTTAAATTTAAATTTAAATTTTTGTTTGTAGAGATGGGGTCTCACTACATTGCCCCAGCGGGTCTTTTTTTTTTTTTTTGAGGCGGAGTCTCGCTCTGTCACCCAGGCTGGAGTGCAGTGGCCGGATCTCAGCTCACTGCAAGCTCCGCCTCCCGGGTTTACGCCATTCTCCTGCCTCAGCCTCCCGAGTAGCTGGGACTACAGGCGCCCGCCACCTCGCCCGGCTAGTTTTTTGTATTTTTTAGTAGAGACGGGGTTTCACCGTGTTAGCCAGGATGGTCTCGATCTCCTGACCTCGTGATCCGCCCGTCTCGGCCTCCCAAAGTGCTGGGATTACAGGCTTGAGCCACCGCACCCGGCTCACCCCAGCTGGTCTTGAACTCCTGGTCTCAAGTGATCCTCCTACCTTGGCCTCCCAAAGTGTTGGAATTACAGGGTGAGCCACTGTGCCCGGCCAGAACTTTTCTTAATGCTGGTTATATCTATCAACATTTTCCCACCTTAGAAATTAAAAGAAAGAAATTTAATTTTTTTTTTTTTTTTTTTTTTGAGACAGTCTCATTCTATCAGTCAGTCTGGAGTGCAGTGATACAATCTTGGCTCACTGCAACCTCTGCCTCCCAGGTTCAAGTGATTCTCCTGCCTCAGTCTCCTGAGCAGCTGGAATTACAGACATGTGCCACCATGGCCGGCTAATTTTTGTATTTTTAGTACAGACAGTTTCATTGTGTTTGTCAGGCTGGTCTCGAACTCCTGACCTCAGGTGATCCGTCTGTCTCAGCCTCCCAAAGTGCTGGATTACAGGTATCAGACACTGCATCCAGCTGAGAAATTTTAAAAATATTTTAACAACAAATAAACCTGTTACCTATTAATATCAATAACATATATTTTATGAAACATAACTCTATTGTCAAAATCAAAAAATTTAGTGGTATTGTTTTACATTTTTGTAAATATCTTTAATGATTGGTCAACTAAAAGAAAGTTGGAATTTTTTTTTTTTTTTTTTTTTTGAGACGGAGTCTCGCTCTGTTGCCCAGGCTGGAGTGCAGTGGTGCAATCTCAGCTCACTGCAACCTCCGCCTCACAGCTTCAAGCGATTCTCTTGCCTCAGCCTCCCGAGTAGCTGGGACTACAGATACCTGCCACTGCACCCAGCTAATTTCTGTATTTTTAGTAGAGACGGAGTTTCACCATGTTGACCAGGATGGTCTTGATCTCTTGACCTTGTGACCCACCCGCCTTGGCCTCCCAAAGTGCTGTGATTACAGGTGTGAGCAACCACACTCGGCCTATATATATATTTTGTGAGACAGAGTCTCACTGTGTCGCCCAAGCTGGAGTGCAGTGGCATGATCTCTGCTTATGACAACCTTGGCCTCCTGGGTTCAAGTGATTCTCCTACTTCAGCCTCTCAAGTAGCTGGGGTTATAGGCATCCACCACCACTGTGCCCAGCTATATATATATATATATATTTTTTTTTTTTTGACAGTATTAAATGTCTTGTGATTTTTTCAAGAGGGGGTAACATTTAAAAATAGAATAAAGAATCCAGGTGCCATGGCTCATGCCTGTAATCCCAGTACTAGGAGGCTGAGGTGGAAGGACTGCGTGAGCCCCAGAGTTTGAGACCAGTCTGGGCAACACAGTGAGACCTGGTCTCTACAAAAACTTAAAAAGTTAGCTGGGAGTGGTGGCATGTGGCTGTGGTCCTAGCTACTTGGGAGGCTGAGGTGGGAGGATGGCTTGAGCCCAGGAGGCTGAGGCTGCAGTGAGCCTTGATTGCACCACTGTGCTCCAGTCTGGGTGACAGAGTGAGACCCTGTCTCAAAAAATGAAACAAAGCAAAAACACAGAAGAAAGAAACCACCCAAGACAATGGAAAAGATGAAACTATTTTATTTCATCTTTGGCCTCCTTCAACCACAGTTATGATAAGGGAGACGCTCATATTTCTCTCAAGAGAAGGTATTTCTACCGTACTGGTGCTCTGCTAAGAGCATGTATTTATTTATTTATTATTTATTTCTTTATTTAGACAGAGTCTCGTTCTGTCTCCCAGGGTGGAGTGCAGTGGGGCAATCTTGGCTCCCTACAACCTCCATCTCCCAGGTTCAAATGATTCTCCCGCCTCAGCCTCCTGAGTAGCTGGGACTACAGGTATGCAGTACCATGCCTGGCTAATTTTTATATTTTTAGTAGAGACGGGGTTTCACCATGTTGTCCAGGCTGGGCTCGAACTCCTGGCCTCAAGCGATCCGCCCGCCTCAGCCTCCCAAAGTGCTGAGATTACAGGCATGTGCCACCACGCCCAGCCTATGCTCTGCTAAGAGGACTACAGACACGTGGACAATGCTGGAGAGGAGAGGGCCACCGAGGGACTTGGGCACCATCACTCATCTCCCGGAATGGACGAACTGTGAAAAGGATACAGGGAAGCTCCAGGATAAAAAACACAGTGTCCATATTATCTGGGGTGAAGACAGATTATTCTAAGGATAGAAGGAATTTCAACATACCTGGGCCATGGCTTTTAGAACTATTTGACCTGCTCTGATTTCTCTGGATTCTTCTCTTGGACAAGTGCAGAGTCCTGAAAAAGCAAAATGGGGGGAGATGGGATAACCTCTGATAAACCGAGCTTGCCTCAGCACTCCCAAATAGATGAGCTTAAAAGAACCGTACTTCCAATGTCTCGGATCTGCTTCTCCCACCTCTCCATGTCCTACCACACAAGAACTAACATTAAGAACTACGGAGTTGGCCGGGCGCGGTGGCTCAAGCCTGTAATCCCAGCACTTTGGGAGGCCGAGGCGGGTGGATCACGAGGTCAGGAGATCGAGACCATCCTGGCTAACATGGTGAAACCCCGTCTCTACTAAAAATACAAAAAACTAGCTGGGCATGGTGGCGGGCGCCTGTAGTCCCAGCTACTCGGAGGCTGAGGCGGGAGAATGGAGTGAACCCGGGAGGTAGAGCTTGCAGTGAGCCGAGATCGCGCCACTGCATTCCAGCCTGGGCGACAGAGCGAGACTCCGTCTCAAAAAAAAAAAAAAAGGCCGGGCGCGGTGGCTCAAACCTGTAATCCCAGCACTTTGGGAGGCCGAGACGGGTGGATCACGAGGTCAGGAGATCGAGACCATCCTGGCTAACATGGTGAAACCCCGTCTCTACTAAAAAAATACAAAAAACTAGCCGGGCGAGGTGGCGGGCGCCTGTAGTCCCAGCTACTCGGGAGGCTGAGGCAGGAGGATGGCGTAAACCCGGGAGGCGGAGCTTGCAGTGAGCTGAGATCGGGCCACTGCACTCCAGCCTGGGCGACAGAGCGACACTCCGTCTCAAAAAAAAAAAAAAAAAAAGAACTACGGAGTTGGCCAGGCGTGGTGGCTCACGCCTGTAATCCTAGCACCTTGGGAGGCTGAGGCACGAGAATTGCTCAAACCTGAAAGGTGGAGGTTGCAGTGAGCAGAGACTGTGCCACTGCACTCCAGCCTGGGCGACAGAGCGAGACTTGGTCTCAAAACAAACAAACAAAATACAAAACAAAACAAAACTGCAGAGTTAACAAAACCCAGTCTCTTCCTAAACAGTAAGGAACCTAAAAGCAGAAAGATGGTTTCAAAGTAGATGTACTGCAGCACTGACACAGAACCCAGGCACTACCAAGGGAGGGATTACGGCAGACACAGTTCTCCATCTTGTTGATGCTAAACTTGGCCCTAGATGGGGCCTAGAAGGCTCCCACCTGCTCCAAATTACAGCAAGGATATTACAACTCACACTCACTTGATGCATAAGGATGAGGACAGTACCATCAGGCTAGGAACACAGACCATCTATGCAGGCCAAATCTTGAGTAAAAGACATCCCTAAACAGTCTTCTAGCTTCTCCAGGCTCAACAGGCAAAACCTCCTGGGCATCTCACTGGCTCCACTTCCTCCTTCCAAGTCCAAAATGGGACTACACCATGCATACTATAGGCTTTGTCAATGCCTCCAGCCCCAGTTCGACTGACCAGACAGAAGCAAGAAAGCCCCAGTAATACAGGCCTCTTGTTTGCATATCCACACATCCAGAGTACTGCCCTCCATGGGAACTCAATTTCTAGAAGCCTCTTGGCCCAGCACTCTTTATTTCTCATCTGAGCCCTCCCTACTGCATTCTTTTTTTTTTTTTTTTTTTTTTTTTTAAGACTAGACAGCCGGGCGCAGTGGCTCACACCTGTAATTCCAGCACTTTGGGAGGCCAAGGTGGGTGGATCACCCGAGGTCGGGAGTTCGAGACTTGCCTAACCAACATGGAGAAACCCCATCTCAACTAAAAGTACAAAAAATTGGCAGGGCGTGGTGGTGCATGCCTGTAATCTCAGCTACTCAGGAGGCTGAGGCAGGAGAATTGCTTGAACCCGAGAGGCACAGGTTGTGGTGAGCTGAGATCGCACCATTACAGTCCAGCCTGGGCTACAAAAGTAAAACTCTGTCTCACAAAAAACAAAATAAAACAAAACAAAAGACAAGTAGAGTAGTGAGAAGAGGGGGAAGAGAACAAGGAGTTCAATTCATAACTGACTGTGAACAATCAATGGAGATAACTCACTACCTTCCGACCATCTACTGCTTTTCTGCAGAACATCACGTCCCCATTGACTGTGAGGCTGGCAGTTGCTGAGTCTGAAGTCCTGTGAATGGTCTACGTCTCAAAGGAATGAGAAGTCAGAGTTTTAAGGAGGGTTTTTTTTTTCCCCTTTTGAGACAGGGTCTCACTCTGTTGCCCAGGCTGGAGTGCAGAGGTGCTATCTCAGCTCACTGCAACCTCTGCCTCCCAGGTTCAAGCGATTCTCCTGCCTCAACCTCCTGAGTAGCTGGGAGTGCAGGTACACGCCACCATGCCCAGCTGAATTTTTGTATTTTTAGTAGAGACACGGTTTCACCATGTTGGCCAGGCTGGTCTTGAACTCCTTGCCTCAAGTGATCCGCCCACCCTGGCCTCCCAAAGTGTTGGGATTAGCGGGGTATGAGCCACTGTGCCTGGCCTAACAAGGGTATTAAATCTGATCTAATTAGAGGTGCAAGAAGCTTCCCATAGGGGGTGGGTCAAAAGAAATACTTTTTTTTTTTTTTTTTGAAATGGGGTTTCACTCTCACCCAGGCTGGAGTGCAGCGGCACGATCTCGGATCACTGCAAGCTCTGCCTCCCAGACTCAAGTGATCCTTCCACCTCAGCCTCCCAACTAGCTAGGATCACAGGCATGCACCACCACACCTGGCTAATTTTTGCATTTTTGGTACAGATATGGTTTTGCCATGTTGGCCAGGCTGGTCTTGAACTCCTGAGCTCAAGTGATCTGCCTACCTCAGCCTCCAAAAGTGCTGGGATTACAGATGTGAGCTACCGAGCCCAGCTAAGGAAGACTAACTTAATCGATGGGGATGGTGTCAAGAAAACTTTTCCGTAAAATGTAGAATAGGAATTGGGTTCTGAAATCTCAGGGAGGTTTAATAGGCAGAAAAGGGACAGAGAATATTGTGAGCACAGTGAAATGCAATGGCAAAAACACTGGACTGAAAGCGAATGGTGTATTTGGGAGACTGAGAATGATTTGGAATGAGTTGTGTAGTTTGCGGAAATGTCTAGATAAGTGCTGTCCAACAGGATGTTCTGTGAGGATGGAAATCTTCAAATCCGCGCTGTAAATACTGTAGTCATAGGTGGCTACTGAGCATATGAAATGTGGCTAGTATGGCTGAGAAACTAAAGTTTTTATTTGATTTTAATTAATCTAAATTTAAATTTAATTAGCTCTAGAATCTAGAGGCAGATAATGCTGGAGATAACATCAGGGGTTAGAATATGAAGGTGTACGGGCTGGGCGCAGTCGCTCACGCCTGTCATCCCAGCACTCTGGGAGGCCGAGGTGGGCCAATCACCTGAGGTCAGGAGTTCGAGACCAGGCTGGCCAACATGGTGAAACCCCCTCTCTACTAAAAATATAAAAATTAGCCAGGCATGGTGGTGCATGCCTGTATCCAGCTACTTGGGAGGCTGAGGCAGGAGAATTGCTTGAACGAACCTGGGAGGCGGAGGTTGTAGTGAGCCAAGATCACGCCACTCCACTCCAGCCTGGGCCACAGAGCGAGATTCTGTTTCAAAAAAAAAAAAAAAAGAGCCGGGCGCGGTGGCTCAAACCTGTAATCCCAGCACTTTGGGAGGCCGAGACGGGTGGATCACGAGGTCAGGAGATCGAGACCATCCTGGCTAACATGGTGAAACCCCGTCTCTACTAAAAAAAATACAAAAAACTAGCCGGGCGAGGTGGCGGGCGCCGGTAGTCCCAGCTACTCGGGAGGCTGAGGCAGGAGGATGGCGTAAACCCGGGAGGCGGAGCTTGCAGTGAGCTGAGATCAGGCTACTGCACTCCAGCCTGGGCGACAGAGCGACACTCCGTCTCAAAAAAAAAAAAAAAAAAAAAAGGCCAGGCGTGGTGGCTCACGCCTGTAATCCCAGCACTTTAGGAGGCCGAGGTGGGCGGATCACAAGGTCAGGAGATCGAGACCATGGTGAAACCCCGTCTCTACTAAAAATAGAAAAAATTAGCCGGGCGCAGGGGTGGGCGCCTGTAGTCCCAGCTACTCGGGAGGCTGAGGCAGGAGAATGGCGTGAACCCGGGAGGCGGATCTTGCAGTGAGCCGAGATTGCGCCACTGCACTCCAGCCTGGGCGACAGAGCGAGACTCTGTCTCAAAAAAAAAAAAAAAAAAAAAGAAAGAAAAGAAAATGGCCGGGAGCGGTGGCTCACGCCTGTAATCCCAGCACTTTGGGAGGCCGAGGCAGGCGAATCACAATGTCAGGAGATCGAGACCACGGTGAAACCCCGTCTCTACTAAAAATACAAAAAATGAGCCGGGCGAGGTGGCGGGCGCCTGTAGTCCCAGCTACTCGGGAGGCTGAGGCAGAAGAATGGCGTGAACCCGGGAGGCGGAGCTTGCAGTGAGCCAGGATCGCGCCACTGCACTCCAGCTTGGGCGACAGAGCAAGACTCCGTCTCAAAAAAAAAAAAAAAAGAAAAAAGAAAAGAAAATGAAGGTGTATGAATGAAAAAACTGTGAGGGCAAGGACCAGTGGGTCTCATCATCACTCTAACCAGTACTTGCCACAGTGTCTTGAGAACACAGGTGACCAATAAATATAGGCTGAATACATAAAAGTTAGGTTCTTTGGGAAGCTGAGGTGTGTGGATCGCTTAAAAGCCCAGGAATCTGAAACCACCCTGGGTAACATAGTGAGCCCTCATCTCTATCTTTCAAAAAAGGTAGGTTTTGGCTGGGCGCGGTGGCTCAAGCCTGTAATCCCAGCACTTTGGGAGGCCGAGACGGGCGGATCACGAGGTCAGGAGATCGAGACCATCCTGGCTAACACGGTGAAACCCCGTCTCTACTAAAAAATACAAAAAAAAACTAGCCGGGTGTGGTGGCGGGCGCCGGTAGTCCCAGCTACTTGGGAGGCTGAGGCAGGAGAATGGCGTAAGCCCGGGAGGCGGAGCTTGCAGTGAGCTGAGATCCAGCCACTGCACTCCAACCTGGGCGACAGAGCAAG